TATTAATAACATCTCATTCCTATGAGTTCTTAACAACAGGACTACAGAGCTTATCCAAATCTGGAGTAACTCTGACAAGTGTTACGTTATGGGTTCCCAGTGGGAGAACACATTACATCTAGATAACAACTCCCTAATTCAGATTCATACATGTCAAAGTACATGTCAATACTTGTTAGTGTTACTGAATACTAAAGAAAGATACTTGTTCAAAGCAACAGTTAATGGGCAAAGCTGACTACACAGAGTGAAAAAAATAAAATAAAATTCAGCTAAAATTCAGCCTGGTAGAAAATCTAATGCAGTAACAATAGTTCAAGCAATCCTGCAACAACTGCCAGCCATAAAGGCAACATTGAAAAAGTACTGTGAACAGACACCACAGAGTGCACCTTTTAAAAGCATTTATAAGCAGGAGAACTTAAGACTTTTATAGCAATAAATTTAAGGCAATGTTCTCAAGACTGAGAAGCTAGTTTGATTAAACATTTTGACATTATTAGCTTAACTTCATCTTATTATTTAAAAATTTTGATTTTCATGTTAACTTTAACCTATTTGTTACCATCACATTGTAGCTCGTTCTAGTTTTAACATTCCATTTGGATCCTGCATGGTCTATTTTCATAGGTTTACTTTGATTTTTGTGATTCTGATTTTTATAAGTGCCATACAACTAAACGGTTCATTGTTATTAAGTGAGTACTTCATTTAATATCTTTTTTAGACCTATTTAAGGAGACCTCTTACACGCACATCTTGAATTTCATTCTACCGCTTATCTTGGGCACATTAAATCTCAAGTACAAGCTACCTCATTGAAGTGTACAGTGCCGGACGTGCTTGTCTTTTTCGCACGTTAGACGGGGTGACGTAGGTGACAGACTGCTTTGACAGTAATTAGATGTTTGATAGTTGTGGCAGGGTGACCAGAGGCAAAAGTGGCAAACAATCAGCTATTTCATCAGCTCTTCTAGAATGACTTTGACAAGTGCTTTGTTATTTTTTGGGTTTTTATTTATTTATTTATTTATTATTTAATATCAACAATGCAGTTTAACTACTACTACTTCCGATACGGACAGTTTACAGCTATTGCTAATTTCCAACCCTTGACCTCAGTTGGACTCTTACATCCACAGTTCACAGGCAGAATTTTACAGTGTAAGTATGTGTTGGTGTTGGTAAACCAAGGCACTTACTTATGTATAATACTATCCTCCTGGTCTAAACAGTGTTAGTGATCAACACATCTGCTACTCACAAAGTGCAGAGTCTTCCTTGTGCCATAGAGAAGTCAGACAATATGACAGCACATTAGAGTCTCCCAGCTTAAAATAGTTGTGCTCATGCTCTGGACAAAAATCACCTTAAAACTTCCCAGTTAACAATGAGGTTGTGTTTGCTTCGACGGACTGAATGTTTACACTAAGTTGCTCTCCTGGAAAACCATCTCTTGGAAACATTAATGTTTTCCTTTCTGATTAACAGAACAGAATTGCTGAAAGCTTTCTTTGTCTCATCTACATGCTGAGAACAGTGAAGCCTTGTACCCAAGACGCTAAAAGCATTTCCAGTGAATCAGCTGGTCATCACAACTGTATCGTTTGACCTAGAAAATCATGGAAAAAACGCCAAAGAATGCTCCCAAAACAAATAAATAAATAACAAAAAACGCCAACAAAAGTGCATGAAACAACTAACATCTGCCTCCCTGAGGTATTATGTCAGGGGTTATTATTAGTGAGGCTAAGTGGTTGGAAATTGGCACATATTGCTAGGTTTCGCTAGGAAGTGCAGTGACCCAGAAGTGTGAAAGGCTTAGCCTCCTCTGGCTAGAATGTAACCATACTGAGTCTCAACAGAGAAGAAAAGGGGGTATAGACGAGGATGGGCTACAATTGGCAGCATGAGGTAAACACTGAGAGGCTTTTACCTGAGCATTTTCTCTTTACACAAGGATGAGCAGGAAACATGTATGACACTTTGTAAATGGTCTGCTGCTTTTCAAAAACCCCAATCTGTCTCCCCTAATTCTCAAAGCACCCAATGGAATGCAGCAGAGAGCTGGGGTGTGTCATTTCCTCACTTCCTCTGAAAGCAGCTTTAGATGTTGGGCTCACGTTGTGCTCCAGCAATGGGTATCAGACATGCAGTTATTAATGTGCATAAGAGGAAAACAAAATTTGGAAAAGACACAAAAATCTGTCACGTGTAATGTCTTGACTTGACCGCGCCGGCCACATGAACAGCTGCACATGGACACCCTCATGCACGCATCACACACCAGCTTGATCGATGTGTTTTGCCATAAGAGAGCTGTGCGTGATGGGAAGCTTGCTGGGGAGGTTGGGTCAGTGCGTTGCTTGCTTGCTTTCTGCCCTTCTGAGTATTCTCATCTTCTATCCAGCACTGGCAGCAGCAGAAGCCTGCATTTGGATTTGGGGGGGGGGTTCACTATTATACGCTGTGCAGCTTCACTGCTGCAGAACAAAGGGGCTTTCTGGAGAAAACGGTAAAGTAATGTTCTGTTAATTTAGCAAGTTTTGCATGAGTAGTATGGAGCAAACTCCTCTGAAGTTTATTTAAAGAAACTATTACTGTTATTACAGGGAGACTCTTATTTAGGATTTAAATAAATACTTATGAGCAGTAATTGAATTAGGACAGATGCATACCATGTCAGCAAGGAGCACTACGTGAAGCAGACAATGCAAGTTCAGCAGTGACATTGATTAGATGTGCATGCAATTTATGTGACTTGAGCCTTTCATATGAAACAATGCTTTGATGCCTAATGTGGGGAAGTAAGTGGTCATTTTAAGTTCCTTTGACGCACAAAGGCTTTGCTGAGAGGATAGCAAGAGATCAACATGTTGGTTTCGTACAGTGAATGTCTATGTGTACTCCACCCACTCTGTGGCATGTCTATGTGTATGATCATGGTTAATAGCACAAAAGAAAATTCAGCTCCATCATTTCAAAAACATAAACACATTTAGTGGATTTTAAAAGGTGTGCAAAAAAAAACATTGCAAAGACAATTTATGCAATATCAATAAGACTCAGCACAGCTGTGACTGATTAAATATCGTGCTATCACTTAGCTTAATTTTCAATGAGTCAGACTCATTGTTCTTGTTCTTAAACAATCAAATTATTAATGCAGTAAAGTGTAAGATTTACCGGTAGCTAACTTCTTCTTATTCTGAAGATGTAGTTAATATTACATGGTATTAACTCCAACATATTAACAAAACATAACCCTGTTTAATCAGAAATTCCTGGACTTCATCTATGCCATCTGTGTAATAAACATTTCTTATTTACAGAAAAAACTACAATTTGACATTTAAACAAAATGCTGTTATGCTTCCATAAACCTCAGCTCCCAAAGAGACATCAATTTTGAAATATGTGTCTTGAGAATGACCGGATTTATGAAAGCTCTGAACTGTATAGAAGATTTTTGTGGTGCATATATATTAACAGACATGAGTTCTTATTCCACTGCATAGGGAAGCGTGTGCGTCCCAACACTGAGGAGACTCTGAGCTAATGGTCAATTTCTCCTGTCATTAAATCTTAAATCAAAGAAATTAAGAAATTTAAAGAGGATTAAAAAGTTTCAGAATGTACAAAGAAAACAAAATCAGAGCAACCTGAACAAAATAAAGCGAGATGCCAGATGTAAATTTTTAGTGTCTGATTTCTTACCCCATCCAATGATGTCAACCTCAGATCCTTCTGTAAACTTGTATACATCTGCTCAGTAACCCTGAGAAAGAAAAGCTCCCCTCACTATTTTTTTTGTTTGTTTTTTGAGCAGCATTGTTGGTAATACACATGGCCCCATGATATACCCATAAGATTAAAAGTGTACAGACATGCTCTCTAAAGTAGTTTTCAAATGTGCTTTCAGCTCTGAGCTTTTCTATAGATTAACTAACAAAGATGCATGCGGGAAAGGAAATCTCCAAAGCAGCTAGATTATAGAGTTTTTAATCTAGATACTTCCTAGTGCACTGGTTTTACCCAGTGTCACAACACAACGGTGTCCTCTCCTAAACTGTTTCAGTGGGAATGCAGCTGGTGCCAACTACTCCCTACTGCGTGCTAAATGTAAGAAACGACAGCTATGAACAGGAAGTGTGAAAACATTTAAAGCTACCCCCAAATCAGTGTAGCTTTAAGCTATATGCTAACACCTGCTGTTTACAAAATCAACTTGCACATACACTGATGTTCAGCAATTATTGCAGTGATCTTTACCTTACAATATAAAGTGTCTAGAGGCCACTGTTGTTGTGATTTGGTGCTTTATAAATAAAACTGAACTAGACTGAAAAACTGAATTTACCATCACAGTTTACTGCAGTGTTTTTAAAATGAGGGATCTAATTTTAAAAGAAATTAAAAAGGGATTCAAGTTGACTATTATTTTTTAATTGACATAAAACAGTCACTCGAAATCATTCAGGACCATTATAGTCAGAAGAATTATAGTATGTGGAAAACCAAGAGCAGCAGCATATAACAAAGCAGGCAGATGACAGATCGTGTTGTCGTGTTGACTAAATAAGACTCGGCATGAAAGGAAGAGCAGGGTCTGAGGTGAGTCACGAAGCTGGCTGGAGATGCGCAATAGTTTTGAGCAGCCTAAACAGCATGTGAGATGGACGTGGGCTGCCATTGGGATCAGCTGACATGAAGAACTGAGGCTGAGGATGATTTCATGGCCTGATCAAACTCTAAGCTCAATTTGTAAAAGTATGTGGACAATTTAATCCACAAAAATCAAATGCAGTGAACAGAAACAGTAACTAAGTAAAGTGTTGCAGTCTTGCAGTCTGTTTTCAGCCTCTCATGCAGTATTATAGTTGTTGATCATAATATTTTTTTGTTGGGGAGTTAAGCAGCTCAAAGCTGAATATTGTGTGTATGTCTGAAAAAAATGTTGTGCACAAAGATCCACTGATGCTGACGTCTGTGTGGTTGAAGTCACAGAAATGGATGTGGAGCGTGGCTTCTATCAGCTGGTGGAGGTCCAGGACCACGTTCACTACATCTTTGCTTTCGTTGTTTCTATGATTGGAACAGTGGGCGTTACCGGGAACGCCTTGGTCATGTATGCCTTTTACTGGTAAGCCACCCTACACATGGAAATGATCATGGGAACAAATATGCTTATCTTTTAGAGCTGCATCTTTGCGGACCTGAAAATAAGTTTGGAATATTTTAATATTTGATACATTTTTTTGTGTTCTATAAAATATGTGTCTTATTTACTTTTCACACGGCACCCTGAGTGTTTTTAAATTGTGGTTACACAAAAAATGTGATGGACGGATGAATTTTCTGCTATTCATTGGGATTTGATGATGCTCATAACATTTCAAATAATTTCAGTGAGCCATTTGAGGTGGCTCTATTCTGAGCCCTGGCTGACTGACCAAGCTCCTCATCCTGTCTGTAAGGGAGAGGCCAGGCAGAGGAAGGTCATTTCTGTCAATTACGTATATCAGGGTGGGATTGTAGATCAACTGGTATATTTAAGTCTTTGCTTTCAGATTTCTCTTTACCACAGCTGCCCAGTACAGCATTCGCATTACTGCAGATGTAGACTGTACCAATCTGTTAGAATTCAGTTCTATTCAATTCACTTTTATTTATGTAGCCTCAATTTCCAACAACAGTCACATCAAGGTGCTTAATATTGTAAAGCAAAGACCCTAAAATAATATAGACAAACCCCAACAATGATGGGAATCCCCCAGCAGCCTAAATCTATTGCAGCATAACTAAGGGAGGATTCAGTGTCACCTGATCCAGCCCTAACTATAAACTTTGTCAAAAAGGAAAGTTTGAAGCCTAATCTTAAAAGTAATGTGGGAGCTGGTTCAACAGAAGATGGGCCAGAAAACTGAAGGTGCTTCCTGCCATTCTACTTTTAAATATGCTCATTGCACCAGAACCCTACAGACCCTCCTGGAGGCGGTGGATCCACAGGAGGACAAGGCCACAGTGTGCAAATTTTCTCAAGCATCTTCAATCTCCAGTTCTAGCATCCCTGTTTTGAAGTTCGCTCAGGCCAGATACTGAGCCTGAAGTACCCTCTGATACGTCCATCTTTATGTGTGTGGGTGTGTGAGCATTAAAAAATATATCTGTGGATGCAGGTTACAGTGAAAAAAAGACATCGAGATTAAAGTGTTGTTAGATGAGTTATGAGTTAGCCAGTATAACAAATATCTGGGCAGCACAGTGGCGCTTTAGTAACCTTAAAGCAAGTTCTAGATTTGA